CCTATCAATCCCGCGGATGAACCACCTTCAACAAGGTGGAATTTTACTAAGGCCAATTGGCCATTATTCCAAACTCTGTGTTCTGAAAACCGTAAACCTGACAATTTCAGGAATTTTCCTGACCCCATGGAACTATTTTCAGACGTCCTACATGACATTGGAGACAAAACCATTCCTAAGTCCTCTGCAAACCCGCACATACGCAAACCATGGTTTGATGCAAACTGCAAACAAGCTGGAAGAAATAGGAAGAAGATGGAAAATATTTCCGACAACATCCTACTGTGCATAACCTGAATGCTGTTAAAATGAAAAATGCCAATGCAAGACGTACCTTTAAGCAAACTAAACGCAGATCATGGAGGAAATATGTGTCCAAAATCAATTCCCGCACACCCATGTCCAAGGTGTGGAACATGATTCAAAAGATTAAGGGAAAAGGATCCAAATCTGGTGTTAGCCATCTCAAAGATGGTCACTCCCTCTTAACCAATAAAGTTGAAATTGCAAACAAACTTGGCGAAACTTTGGCAAACCACTCCTCCTCGTCAAATTATAACTCCAAGTTCCAGAAATACCAAACCCAACAAGAAAAGAATTTTAACTCTGATAATGGTGAGGACTACAATGAAACGTTTTCTCTCCATGAACTACGTACTGCCCTGGGGCAGGCTCACGACACTGCAGCAGGAGCTGATGATATTCATTATCAACTTCTGAAACACCTCCCTGATCCAAGTTTGGAAACTCTACTCATTATATTTGATAACATTTGGACAACCGGCAACTTTCCTCCTTCGTGGCACAATGCCATTATCATCCCTATACCAAAACCTGCCGGGATCATACTGATCCCTCAAACTACAGTCCTATATCCCTAACTAGCTGTGTTTGTAAAACCATGGAGCGCATGGTCAACAATCGATTAATTTGGTACTTGGAGACCAATAACCTCCTAAGTGACCTCCAATGTGGTTTCCGAAAAAAAACGAAGTACCATTGACCATCTGGTGCGTCTGGAATCTTTTATAAAAAATTCCATTGTCAACAAACAACATACTGTATCTATCTTTTTCGATTTAGAAAAAGCATACGATACAACGTGGAAACATGGTATCTTAAAATATTTACATGAATTTGGACTGAGGGGCAAACTACCTCAAGTACGGGTAGGTTCCATATTGTCTGATTATTTCCACCAAGATCAGGGCGTCCCTCAAGGCAGCATCCTGTCTGTCACCTTTTTAGCATCAAAATTAACAGCATCACTAACGTCTTGAACAGTTGTGTTGATGGGTCCCTTTTCGTGGACGATTTCAATATTTCATGTCGTGGTAAGAACATGCACGCAATAGAAAGGCAGCTACAACTCTGCCATAACAATATCCAAAAATGGGCCAATGAAAATGGCTTTAAGTTTTCAAAATCCAAAACAAATTGTATTCACTTTTGTCGTAAATACAAACCACACAAGGATCCAGACCTATCTTTAGATGGTACTCCTATCAAGGTAGTAGAAGAGGCTAAATTCCTGGGACTCATATTCGACCGTCACCTGACATTCTTACCACACATAAAATATTTGAAAACCAAGTGCTTGAAGGCTCTGGACTTACTAAAAGTCGTTTCAAATACAGAGTGGGGAGGGGATCAGACTACCCTCCTTCACTTGTACAGATCTTTGGTTCGCTCTAAACTAGACTACGGCTCCATTGTCTATGGCTGAGCCTGCAAAAGCAATTTATAAAAATTAGATTCTATCCACCACCAAGGCCTGAGGCTCTGCCTGGGAGCTTTTAGGACCTCTCCGGTAGACAGTCTACATGCAGAGGCTAACGAACCTTCCCTTGAACAATGCCGCATTAAACTTTCACTGCAGTATATCACTAAATTACGTTCAAATCAGTCCAATCCAGCATACAATTGTGTTTTCAACCCTCTCAATCAAAACCTGTTTCCTAAACTGCCAAGCCTGGTATCACCACTTGGAATCAGAATTCAACCACACATATCTGCAGCTAAAATTGATCTCAATATCATAGCACCTTACCGACCCCTGTCTTCACCACCCTGGCAGATGGTGAAACCACAGGTCGATCTTACCCTCACTAAACTCAAAAAGTCCGAAACAAATCCTTTGGTGTTCCAGCAGGAATACAACCAGTTACGTTCCAAGTATGACACCCATAGATCCAGTTTCACAGACGGATCCAAGGATGAGGGCCAAGTTACCAGTGCTACAGTCATTGGATCCAAGACTGTCTCCTCTAGGATTCCCGACAACAGTTCCATTTTCACTGCCGAGGCCAAAGCTATCTATTCAGCTTTGACCTATATTAAACAGCAGAATCATTCCAAAAACTTCATCGTTTTCACAGATTCATTATCTTGCCTTCAAGCACTTCAAAATGTCACTTCAAGTAACCCAATCATTCTGGACATTTTAGAACTTTACAACGACCTCTCTACTGGCCAATGTGACATCGTCCTCTGCTGGTTGCCGGGTCACGTCGGCATAGCAGGTAACACAAAAGCCGATGCTGCAGCAAAAGCAGCTCTTGACAAGCCCTTATCTCCACTGCTGATCCCGTACAGTGATTTCAAACCCACTATCAAAAGCTATACTCGGGACCTCATGCAAAAAAGGTGGGACACTCAAGTAGGAAGAAATAAACTGTATGAATTGAAGCCAACAATTGGTTATACCTACTTGGGTTGTCAGTCAAGACGTGATGAAGTAATTTTACGACGATGTCGTATTGGCCACAGTCGGTTTACTCATGACTATCTGCTGAATACGGATGGGGATGGACCCCCATGTGTGTCTCTTGCGATGAGGTTTTCACCATCAAGCATATTCTGCTTGACTGTGTGGACTTCTCGTCTACAAGAGACTCACATTATGAAGCAACAAATCGGAAAGATGTGTTCTCCCGCGTGAGCGCTCATCTGATAGTGAACTACCTGAAGGAAGTTGATCTGTATCATAAATTGTAACTGTGTAATGTGACTAACAAATTGCCTGCCTTTAATTTAGTGCTATGACATTTTCTATTTTTTTAAATGACAATGTAATGAATATATGTTTTTGAAATTAAAACTCATTTTGACTCTGTACTTACAATGTTTACTAATGCAGACTTGTTCTCGTCACTATATGGCTGGAATAATGCCGATGTGACGTAAAGCCCAACTCAACTCAACTTGTAAAAACGGGTAAAAATGAAGTGTGCAACCCCCTTTCTCAAGAGTGTGCACCACCCACACCCCCTTTCTCAAAAAACTGTATCCGCCCTTACAAAAAGTGAGCACAAGTATCCGATGCTGATGTAGCGTGAACGTCGACTCAGCGGCAGTTCTCTGGAAGAGGGTAACATTCAAACTTACCGCTACTCGTGAAATGCAGCACAATCTCCTGGCGTGTCGAGAACACCATTTCCTGAGACGCCGGAAGTACGACTGGGGTATATAGATTTTACTCGCCATGTGGTCCACGATAGATGCGCCACTGTTTTACAGAAGCGGTTCCACAAGCGGAGAATGCATAACGTACATTATATGCCAGTACAAGTATGCTGGGAGAATCAAGAGCTTGTGTAAAGTCAAACTCCCCTCTCTTGCAACTCATTAGACAATCGCGTGACGTCACGTGAAACAACCAATCACAATGCATAACCAAGGGTTTTGTACAAATTCCGTACAGCAACATTTGAAAACATTAGAAATGGAGGGCTATCAATACGCTGCAAAGAAACTCGTACAGAGGTTCAACATCCTTCCAAAAACTCGTAATGGTATTTTACATTTTATTTCCGTCTATATTTATCAGTTTCTTTACAGAGGTTAAAGGAATTCATTTGAATGACAATGACAAAGTGATCTCGGAAATTATTACTGTTTGTATTGTTGGGCGTTGCTCTGGCCAAGTCAATGAAGAACTGCCTAATATAAATAATGGACAGTAATTGACATTGACTCTGCTGCAAGCGTACGGAAACCACGGGGCAAATCATTGGCCACACAAATTCCTTAATAAACCCAGTTGTTCGTTAACAAACAAAATAACATATTCATCAACCTGAATATTTATGTTTACCACAGACTCAATATCTGTATCAAAAGACTTCAATGTCTAGACCTGAATCGAGACCCAGAATCTGGTCAGTTGCTATTCCTTGTCATGTCATACAATCATTAAAACGAGTAGTAGGAATGAATGATATGATTACTGAATGAAATTGTGCTATTTGGTGTCCACATGCAGCATTTACGACTTCCACTATTGTGATATTGTTGTGTGTGTGTGTGTGTGTGTGCAAGTGTCTGTGTGTTTGTGTTTGTGGAGTTCCATGGTAGTCTTGGTTGCATGCGCAGCTCTCAGGAGAGGGTGTTCTCTGCCCCGGTTGCATTATTTCGTTCAAATGAAGTCACCGATTTGTATTGTTGTCTAACTGGTCTGGGTTAATGATTATATGTTGGTTTGTTGTTTAACGCCGCACTCAGCAATATTCCAGCTATTTGGCGGCGGGCTGTAAATAATCGAGTCTGCGCCAGATAATCCAGTAAATTGCAGTAATCAAATTAATGACTTCATGAGAGACCTGTGAAATGATAACCAAATGTATTTACGTTTATTGTTCCAAAAGAGCAAAACTATATCGAAGGTCATTTCTGAAGTGATGATTGGTAAACGTAATCAAATGACCATATAATGAGAACTGTTCCCGGTCCTTCAACTGTTAGGACTCCTGGATCCGTCCTGATACCCCAGTGGGGATTGTGAGGTCACAATGTCCGCCAATCACAATCATGATCCAGACTGACTGACTGACTGAGTTTGGTTTTACGCCGCTTTTAGCAATATTCCAGCAACATCACGGCGGGGGACACCAGAAATGGGCTCATGATCCAGAAGTGGTCTTGACCTCTGAGAGAAGATGGCGCTCCATAAACATATGCCAAAACAGGCTGGTAAAATCAGCATACAAAACGTTTCCTTCTTTGTCTAAAACCGGTTTATTTCATTTAAATGCATTCACTAAAGACCATAAAAACATGTCACACATCTGATTCGTTATCTGTTCTTCAGGGAAATATCCCAAATGCCCATTGCTGGAATGAAAATCATCCCTAACCCACAAGCCACAAGCGAGTTACAGAGTTTAGGGTAATGGTGTATATTACTACTTTGAAGAAAACTATTCAGACCAGTAGACACTCTTGGTGTATTTCCATCCCAGTTTTACATCACATCCATGGTAAGTGAGCAGATTACATTTGAGTATCTACCGTATTTCCTCACTTGTATAAAGCAACTGTTCAACAAATAAGCGCTGGGTCTCCAATAAAGCCGGGTGTGTCACATGTTTACAACGGAGTTTTCAAATAAAATACCAATGGAGAATCTACGTTTATTTCCATTGAAACTTTAAGCGCCTTGTCTCCAATAAGAGCAGGGTCTGGAAGTCTGTTGGAAAAAATCCCCGGGCGTATTAGAGGAAATACGGTATACTAAATATACTCCCTGTCAACTTGAAAGCCAAGTTCAACATAACAAAACATTTCCTGTTTCTCTTTACTGTCCACAATCTATAAGATTTGTTAGATGTTTATTAGAATCACTAATCAAACGTATGAGCACTCGGTGAAACGATGTATCCATGATACAAACATAATGGTCATTCAAATGATTGTTTGCACAAATTGCACCCAGCAATATTACAGCTATAACAGTTGTTTCTAAATGATCGAGTCTGGACCAGACAAACCAGTGATAGGCACCATGAGCATTCATCTACACAACTGAGATCTGATGACCAGGATCAATCCAAAACAAAAATATAAAAAAAACAAATTGGCTAAGCATAAGTCCATATTGCTCATCAGGATATTCAAACAACAGGTCGTGATTAATGTCATGTCAAATTAATTAAAGTGTAGACTACAACAAATAACACATTTACACCTTAACGTTCTGTAACAATAATAATAACTTATCCTGTCCGCATGTGATCTGGAAAAGGCCATCACACTGTGAATCTTTAACTTTTACAAAATCAGTAGTCAAAAAGCGGAATTTGAATAGTGTTGCTTTGCTCAATTTGTTAAATCATTTATTATAGTGAGGCTTGAACAGTAATAAAAATATTAAAGAATAAACATTGACCACAAATACATGAATAAAGAAAATGAAATGTATCAAACATAGTAACCACCATTGAGGATAGCAGAGGACATATGTGGTCTCTGACCATATTTATTTTATTGCCCCTGATTAGGTAAAATAATAAGCTTAAGAAACAAACATTATTGACTGAATAAACAAATATTATCAAAGCTGAAGCAGTAGCAGTGAATAATGTTTCATGTTCCACTTGACGACACTTATATCATATTACTCAAATATAACTACATTTGTCCTCACCTGAAGTGAATCACAAGACATGTCCTGAACATTTATTGTGGATTCACTACACCTATATACACAGGAGTGAGTGAGTGAGTTTGGTTTTATACCATAGAATTCTGTATTGTTTCCATGACAACAGCTGGTACAGTGACAAGGATACAAGGATGCTGCCTGTCACTTCCTTCTTGAGCTCACCAGCTGTCCCATGCAAATTAGCTGCCTAAGACAAGCAACCAGTGGAAGACAAAGGCAATACAAAGCATTCGAAGCAGCTTGGCAAGTTCAGGCAGACTGACTGACTGACTGACTGACTGACTGAGTTTGGTTTTAGGCCGCTTTTAGCAATATTCCAGCAACATCACGGTGGGGGACACCAGAAATGGGCTTCACACATTGTGCCCATGTGGGGATTCGAACCTGGGTCTTCGGCGTGACGAGCCAACGCTTTAACCACTAGACTACACCCACCGCCCAGTTCAGGCAGACTTAAGGATGAGGTGATATCATTATCATAAACTTTATCTGTTTTTAAGTACAAGAAAAACATCCCGCTGACTTGACAAGAGATACCTCAGCCTGTAAATATGGCTGAGATCTTTACATTATATGATAGGACATCTTGTTGTGGTACCATTCATATTTAAAGTTTAACGTCATTCATGCATGACTTGACATGTTCACATACATTTCCATCATCAAAGGAAATGAAGAGCATTTCAAATTAAAAAATAAACTCTTTTTTAGTAGATCTGAGAATTAATTTTTAAAAATTGGACTAACACCTCTTATACACACAAACAGAAAATAAAATTAAGCCGCTGTATAAATTATATTCATATCAATGAACAAATCACCCACATATATATAAACCATGTATCATTCATTCATTGATTTATTGATTCAGTATGCATCAATGGTCAACCAATACAAAACTCATATTGTGGCATGTTATATTTGGAATTACACTTTCTTAGCTAAGTACAAATTCTAGTAATTTTGTTGGGTCGAGTCATAGTTAGGATTCGAACCCACACCCTCAGAGTCAGGCACCTAAATGCCAGCACACAAAGTCAGACGCCTTACCCGCTCAGCCACCCCACTTTCACAAAAAATGGAAGTCGGACAACTGGTAGTATAGACTGCGGACTTTGTGTACCCCTCTGACAAGTGTAAATTGGCACGGCTCCCACGGCCGAAAGCTATGATTTACCCATAGTACTCAACTTTTGATAAGGATGATCAGTTTTATCACATATAAGAATATACATTTGTGATATTGAGAATCTGTTTTGTGTTTCATCAAAAGAAGAAAATATACATATCAAGAGTGGAGAAATATATAACAGCTCAGTCTTGCTTGTAAATCACATAAAATGTGAAAAAAAATACCTGATACAAAAGTATGTAATATACTGCAATATTTACTGCCACCATCATGGTGGGATGTTGAGGTAAACAATTTGTAAGTAACATGACATATTACTGGCTCATATGTATAGATGATAACCGCAGTACCAACTTCTCTCAAAGCCCCAAAGTGTCTGTTACAGACTCAGACGCCTAAAACATGCTTCTCTTAAAAACCGAATTCTATAACAAGCATTTCCATTATATTTTCAGCTGAGGGGTATTGTAAGTTTGTAAAATGTACATCCTTTCCAGGGCAATAGAAATACATTATGCAGCATTTTTAGCATAGAACCATATCATCACGATCACAATAGGGAGCCTTACAACAGAACATATATATTGATTCAATAAAACTAACAATGCATTGTGTCCATTTCATATACAAGAACTGTTTTAACATTTGCCAATTCTAGTAAAGGTGGTTAAAGTTACTCTGCTACTTTAATAGTTGGTTGTATTCCTCCCAATCAGAAAACACTCTCAGTTATCCTACCGCTTTTGAGTAAGTGTGTGTTTTGCATACAAAGTGAGATGATGTGTATCTTCATGGTTGATATTGCTGGTCGATCAACAACATGTCCTGTGAACCCATTGTTGATCAACACTAGCCTTGAATATGATCCTCCTATCTGAACATTCACAAAGATGGATCAACATGTATTTGCCAATTCAGGGTGGAGATGGGTCAATGCACAGGGTATTTGAGGTGTCAGTGGTATCAGATGATGATGGTGAAGATCAGTGGCTCTGTTCACCGGCTGTATGAAGATGCATTAAGATTGATATGAGCTGTGTGTTAAAGATCCTTCAGATGGTCACAGCAGGGACGCAGGTTTGCCAGGATGGAAGCCCTGAGTAGAGCCGCTCTTGGCTCCGAAGGAGTCAAACTTGTGGTCCAGTGGCACTCCTGGGGATGAAGTTGGGTGATATTGTTATGAGAATCTGTTATATATATCTTCCATGAAGTGAAGGTCTTATACATTTACCTTTCCTAAAAACAATTTTCATCCTTTCTAAATATATCTTATGTTACATGTGTGGAGATTGTCAGTGAGGTGAGGTGAAATTGGGTTTTACGTCGTCCTTGAGAATATTTCGCTCATATGACGACGTGCATGCGTGTGTATGTGTATGTGCGGCTTCTTGTACTAGCCCAGATTTAAGCTGGTTTTATAGTGCTAACTCACTGAGATACGATGCCGCAGTGAAGCATGAATACCCCACTCAGACACATTATACGGACTCCGAGCCGACCAGTCCTTGTTGTACCCATTAATGTCGAGTGCCAGACAGAGACCAACAAGTACCATATTTTAACGTCTTTTGGTATGACGCGACCGGGGATCGAACCCGCGACCTTCCGCTCTCCGGGCAGATGCTCTAACCACTACACCATTGAGGCGGTCTGGAGAATGTCAGTGATGAAACCTGACAGTCTGTTTACCAAAGACACCTTTCCATTTTCTATGTTCCTGATGAGGTAAGCTGACACCAAAGGGGAGTTACCTAACTGAAACTTGGCAATTTGTCTTCTTCAAGAACAATGAAGTACATTGTGCTTCACGTGAGTGAGTGAGTGAGTGAGTGCTCAGCTGTGGTGCTGACCAACCTTGAACCAACAATCATACATTTCTTGCATGTCAAAAGGGCGACAACTCTGGGGTGTCAGCAATTTTGTACATAGAAATATTTTTAAAAAAACATGCTTAAAAATTATGGGAAGGGGATGGGGACATTGATTTTGTACATGACACGAAGGGGGGTGTCACTTACTTCGTACAAAGTTTGTTTTGTGTGTGTGCGTGCGTGTGGTGTGAGCATTCACATTGTACATGCTTCTTCATAAACGTCCTTATCACCCCCCTTAGATCACTGTCCTTTAGATTCAAAATCCTCATTTTCAAAACTCCTGGAACAGCAAATGGAAAACTACCGGTAATGAGAATCTTAACACACCTGCCAGGTACTCCAGACTGGGCACGGTGATGTCGCTGTATTGGCTGATGACGTTCCCCCACAGAGTGTTCATGACCTTGTTGGAGTCCCCCTCGGGACCGTGGTACAGGAAGGGCCCCCATACATCGGAGATCAAGTACTCTATTTCCTCATGGGTCACTAGTGAACTGTGCTGGAAAGTAAGCAGACTCTGTCAGTTACTCCTTCCCGTATTGGGACGTGCCACTAATAACATGCTGCATCCAGTCACAGAACAACTGAAAACAAAATGAAACAGATATAGAGAATCTCACCCCAGTGTCTTTTGATATCAAATATATCACCACGAGTTGATAAAGTAACAAATATCCAAGGCTTACCAAGGATATTTTTACTTTTATCAACGAATGTTGATATATTTGATATCAGAAGACATGAGGGTGAGATTCTATTTATCATCAATAATCACTCTTCATTAGTTTTCAATGAAAAATGTACATCTCTGAACACAGTACTGCCATTAGATTTGCAGTGCAGCGATGTCATAACATTGTGACGTCAACAAGTTCATGACGTCATAGCATTGTCAGGGCATTGTACAAAATCTACTGTCAAAACGATATCTCCTAGGAGATATCGTCTGATCTCACACAAGCGATATTTTCTGTGGAACACAGTTTTGGATGATAAAATAGAGTGCAGCCAGTGGGGACTGAAAGAAGCTGAATCAGAACACCACCAGGATTCCTGGAAAAAGCTGAGATTCCCAGAATCTAAATGCTGACATACCAACATCTGATATGGGGGACATATACAGACTACAAACAGGATTTGTATTCACCTCTATTCCTCGTCGCCGTTTCTTTTGTGACGGCTCATCATCTTGTTGTACAGTTCCGTCATCACATGCATATCCCTCTGCGTCCATTTCTTCCAGAAGTAGTACAGTGTCCCAGTCTGCATACATCTTAGACGGAAAACAATCAGCGCAGATGTTGTCTCCAAAATATACAACCTGAAAGAAATAGAAACAATCCATAAATATGTGAAAGTCTTCACAGCAAACAACATATGTAAGTGAGAGATTTAAATAGTACTGTCAGTTTGTATTTGTGAACAGTTACCATGGTAATAGAGCTTCACATAAACAAAGAAAAAAGGGTTTAGGCAAAACAATGATGTGTTCCTGGGCCCACTTGCACAGAGCAATCTTAGCTACAATCAATCTTAGGCCCCTACAATCCACTTTACAATCACCATACAATGGCCCTAATCCACTTGCACAAAGCCGATCTTAGAGCGATTGTAAGACGGCATGTATTTAAGATCGCGATCTTAGCTAAGATCGAACTCTTCAACGGTGGAGGTGCGAATTTCTTAAACTCGACTCCTGTCTACAGTTGTCTGCAAGTGCGGCATAGCATATTAGCGCATAAAATAGAGAGTGATACTGGTACAATACATACCTCCTCAGTTAGCATTTGCAGAATTAGCATGAAAAACATTCCAATCTTCTAAGGAAACGAATACGTGGATGATAGCATATATTTTTCTATATTTTAACTGTCTTGATTTATGAACTGAGAATGTGCTGAAACCACGGAAATACCTTACCCATGTTTTATGAAAATATTGAACTGCGAAAAATACATTCATAAATTTGGGTCTAGCTTTAGTGACTTACATAATTATGAAAATTATAATAATATATCAAATATCATACAATATTTCCTTATGATATAACACCCTAAATGCATGATTTACCACTGGTTGTCAATGAGACATTGTTTAATGCACAGCTGTTTGTTTTTTTGTTTTTTTGTGTGTGTAAAATCCTAAATATCTCAGAAGTAGCAAATTGGTTTTCTCACAATATAACAAGAAAATGTAATATGGCTACAGAAGTGTTGTAAAGGAACTCATGACAGGGAAATACGAATATCAAATAATATATCGAGAGAGCAGTTGCTAAATACTCATTCACAGTATATATTAATGATATGACCCTATTGGCGCTGATAAATATTTTTCTAAAAGTGAAATTAAAATTGAATCTTGATTTTGCACGTTAACTTGTATCTAATTTTTGATTACTTTAATGATTAACTAAGACAAAATCACTCCATCACCGAAAAGAAAATATCTTGAGCTCTGCGATTGGGCATGACAGACTCTGACACGGCAACGGCATAGGCCAGGGAAACCACTCCCCATCTTGCTCATAAACTAAAATTATCTGCTCTTGAGTTAATGAAAAGGTCACGCCATTGTTAATCGCGACGCGGACACCATTTGCTAGTATCCTTTCATTGATTATCAAAAAGGTATGTTGTTTCACACTTATTCCAACATTGAATCGGGTGGGAATAGTACTTTGTGATATCGACTTCGATAGTTCTGTGGTTCACTACAGTAAATAACAATGTATCCGACGTTAATCGGGTTGTGCATTCTCCGCGGTTGAAGTGTCGAGTGCTTAATCATACAGTTCAGTTTTATGCAATATTAAAGCAATCTCCAAACGAAAAGCTGATTATTTATGCGAAACTTGAACAATCGCTTTTGTCAAAGACTACAATGATCTTAGCTCCTTTACAATTGGTCCGGACCAATTGTGCAAGCCTTCGATTGTAACTTACAATGATCTTAACCTACAAAACGCTTAGTGTGAAGTGGATGGCGATTGTAGCCGAAGCCTAAGATCGCCATCTTATGGATTTACAATAATTGTAGCGCTAAGATCGTTCTGTGCAAGTGGGCCCTGGGCCCACTTGCACAGAGCAATCTTAGTTACAATCAATCTTAGGGCCTTACAATCAACTTTACAATCACCATACAATTGCCCTCATCCACTTGCACAAAGCTGATCTTAGCGCTTCATTGTAAGACCGCATGGATTTAAGATCGCGATCTTAGCTAAGATCGCACTCTTCCACGGTGGAGGTGCTAATTTCTTAAACTTCGACTCCTGTCTACAGTTGTCTGCAAGGTCGCATAGCATACCGCGTAAATAGAGAGTGATACTGGTCCTGCACAAATACATACCTCCCTCAATCGCGACTTTGCAGAATTTTCATGACAAACATTCCAAGAAATCTTCAAAGGAAACGCGATTACGTGACGATAGCATATATATTTTTCTACATTTTAACTGTCTTGATTTATGAATTGAGAATGTGATATTTCAACCACGGAAATACCTACCCATGTTTTATGAAAATATTGAACTTCATGAAAAATACATTCATAAATTTGGGTCTAGATTTAGTGACTTAATAATTATGAAAATTATAATAATATATCAAATATCGACAATATTTACTTATGATATAACACCTAAATGCATGATTTGCCACTGGTTGTCAATGAGACATTGTTTAATGCACAGCTGTTTTTCCTTTTTGTTTTTTTTGTGTGTGTAAAATCAAAAATATACCCTAGAAGTATTGGTTTTCTCACAATATAACCAGAAAATGTAATATGGCTACAGAAGTGTTGTAAAGAATTCATGACAGGGAAATACGAATATCAAATAATATATCGAGAGCAGTTGTTAAATACTCATTCACAGTATATTAATGATATGACCCTATTGGCGTTGATAAATATTTTTCTTAAAGTGAAATTAAAATTGAATCTTGATTTTGCACGTTAACTTGATAACTTTAATGATAAACTAAGACAAAATCACTCCATCACCGAAAAGAAAATATCTTGAGCTCTGCGATTGGGCATGACAGACTCTACGGCAACGGCATAGGCCAGGGGAAACCACTCCCATCTTGCCCATGAACTAAAATTATCTGCTCTTGAGTTAATGAAAAGGTCACGCCATTGTTAACGCCCGCTGGGACACCATTTGCTAGTATCCTTCCGTGATTATCAAAGAGGTATGTTGTTTCACACTTATTCCAACATTGAATCGGGTGGGAATAGTACTTTGTGATATCGACTTCGATAGTTCTGTGGTTCACTACAGCATATAACAATGTATCCGACGTTAAATCGGGTTGTGCATTCTCCGTGTTGTTGAAGTGTCGAGGCGAATCATACAGTACAGTTTTATGCAATATAAAAGCACGCTAACTCCAAACGTAAAGCTGATTATTTGCGTGAAACTTGAACACCATTTTGTCACAGACTACAATGATCTTAGCTCCTTACAATTGGTCCGGACCAATTGTAAGTTTCGATTGTAACTTACAACGATCTTAGCCTACAATCGCTTTGTGCAAGTCGATGGCGATTGTAGCCGAAGCCTAAGATCGCGATCTTATGGATTTACAATAATTGTAGCGCTAAGATCGTTCTGTGCAAGTGGGCCCTGGTCTTTTGGCTAGGCTGTTAATGACTCACTGATGCAGCTTTCCATCAACTGTACAATCCTGCATTCTGGACAGGAAACAGTTGCCTGTTGTATTAGGAGGCTCGGCACAACAATTTATTTACGTTCTGCAGATTGATGTAAACATTTCTCAGAGGCCCAGATAAGCTGCGTATCTGGGTAAAATACGCATAGAAAATTTCCAATTACGCATTGAAAAATAATTGTTGCGTACCAATTACGCATTAAAAATATTAGATACGCAAAAAGTTTTTTAAAAATGCGTACGAAATATATTTATCAAGTTGTACTCTTAGTATTGGACATGTGTTGCACTGTCAGTAGAGGATGAGTGATTTTTTATGAAATCATTTCCATTATATTTAAGATGGTTTTGATTAGGTATGACATAAGGCAGAACATACCTTAGGTGAGTGAAATGACTGAAATACGCACATATTTGAAAGCAGTGGGTAACGGAAAATGAAATACCCACTCAACATTCATGATACCCACTCCAAAAAAATACAGCGGGTACAATACCCACATGAGCTAAATCTTATCTGGAACTCTGATTTCTCCTGACGAGCCCCTAAGACCTCACATTCACCACACACTCAATACACATAACCTGCAAACACACAATATGTAGTATGTGCAGTTTGTACTTTTAAATTTAGGAAAGCAGTTTTTCAGAAAATAGAAAAGTTTGGGATGAAGGGGAGAAAATGATGTAGATGAGGATCAGAAACATCATAATTTTAACTGTCAATATACCTACTAAAATCTGAAACAAGCCTAAACTGTTGAGCATTTCAAAAGTGAATTATCATTATTCTTTTCATCAAACCCCAATTAAGCACCACCTTAAACATATTTTGTCATGTATAACATAATCATGTGTTAATGGTTAAGAAAACATATACAAGGTTCAATGCGGAATTCAGCATTTCACAACTAGCTATGGAATTTATCATCCACAGCAAATGTCCATCACTTTAAACACAACTAAAAAGCCCAAACAGTCTACTCTGTTGACAACTAGACCTCTGTGCGAAAGAAGCATTATGAATAACATGACACATACATGAACGTTTTCCAGCTGCCCAAGTAAACGTTCAAGGGAGGTAACTCTTCTTATACTGTGAGCTGGCACATTTCAACATGTCCTGCACTTTGGATCAAATTTGTCACAGGTAAAATCATTACGGTAGTGTCACAAACAGTCGTGCTCAGCTAAGATTTTCATGTGTTTGATAGTGGTTCTTCTATACATGATGCATGAAGCCACTTGATGACATTGTAAAAAGGCACTATCATGCATTCTACATCAAAGAACAAATTGAAATTATTCAGAGTACCAGTCATAAATATAATAATATAAATGCCCATAGGAGATCATCTGACAGCAAATATTGGCCAATAATTAGCAATAACCATCATCATCCTACAAATCTGTTGGTCATCTACATCAACAGACAGCTGTCATAAAACATATTGAGAAGTTGACTCCGATCTTTGAGTGAGTGAGTTTGGTTTTACGCCGCTTTTGGCAATATTCCAGCAATATCACTGCGGGGGACACCAGAAATGGGCTTCACACATTGTACCCATGTGGGGAATCGAACCCGGGTCTTCGGCGTGACGAGCGAACGTCTTAACCACATGGCTACCCCACCGCCCCCTCCGATCTTTGAAGTCAATGAGGGCGATCAGTATCTATGCTGTCAGTTCCTCAGCACAGGGACTGCTTGGCATGGTGGCTTGGATTAGAACCTGAGGACATGGTCAGATGAGAGCATGTGCTTGACCGGTGTCACAGACAAGTGTGTTCAAGTTGGGCCTCAAGGTAACATGGGGCGTGTTGTTCAGCAAAAGTTTGCAAGCTTCGCTGCGCTATGCTGCCTGCTTTCCCGTGCAACGGACTGCTGTATGAGCGCTTCATTCAATATGGCGTCGTCCAATAAAAACACATCACCGATACTAGCCACACTTTTGGCACACGAAGCTGCAGAAGATATTCCATGCAAAGATTTTGAATTGTATGCGCAACATTAAAAACTTGTCCCTATTGGTCACAGAAGAGCAGACAAGTTTTCTCTGTTACCTTGCAGAATGACATGCCGTGACGCCATTTTGAATGTCGCTCGCTTACGCAGGAAGCACCTCTCTCAGTCGCTGCACACCGAAGCGCTGCGATGCATGCAGCGAGGCGTTGTTCAGCCAATAGAAGCGCAGCGCTGCACAGCGTATCGGCTAAACAACGCGCCCATGGTCCATGCACAGAAACATTTGTCAAACAGCCCCCCAAAAGCATTCTAGCTGGTAAGTGTTTCCATATCTAAGTCACCTGCCCATTTTCTCCACAATACACACACTGGAATACCCATCAATACTATGAAATGATTATCAGTAAGTAAACACATCATTATCACAGTCCTTATCTATTGACACAGAATTACAGGATATAGCATGTATCCTGTTTCCTCTGCCATAGATTTGGGACAGATATTTCAAACCTTAAGACCCAAGTAGCAGAGAACGCCTTACATTCTTCTAGGTGAATATTAACAGCAAACCTTTGGATTCTCTTTTCCTGTCAGAGAGCCTATAAACTTTGTGAGCTCTTTATCGTTGCCACGGTAATAGAAACCACCTTTTTTCAGATCTGTTGTTGGTTCCTTTACAGAGTGTTTTTCTGTAAAATATCAAACAAAATATGTAGTTAAGTTCAGCATTAAGCTACGAAAGACTGGATCATACACTACTTTAATTAATGGATAATAAGTATTAATAACCCTGTCATCACTTCAGTCCAAGCATCCTAATTAACAGGTAAGTACCAGTCAAGAGCCATCAACCAAACTTGAAATTGTGCTAACACAAAAAAGCCATGTAATTGCAATTGGTACAATGTTGGACACTACAAGCTTCCAGCTACGGTCACCTCACATGAGTTTGTGCAAGGTGAGTGAGTGAGTATGGTTCTGCTTCATTCTTAGCAATATTCCACAGAAGGGGATACAATGGCCTCACACATTGTACCCAGGTGGGGATCAAACAGGGGTTGGGGCATGATGAATGAACATTCTAACCACATAACTAGGCTGTCTAATTACTAGGCCTACACTATTCGGTCCAAGTGCACATGGCTGTTCATTCTACATCCACTCAAGCTGCTGAACACATATTGACATCATTACATCATTAAGGAGTTGCTGACCATCATACCTCAATTACTAATCTTTCATCAACAAATCATATAAACACATGAATTCTTACCTATTCTTTGAAAAGCATGCCCATCAGTGAAGAAGGAAGGTTTTCTTGCATAAAACATGTTGATGTCAAAATAGGATTCCCAGTCATCACTGTCACAAAGAAGATAAGTATACAGGAGTGAAACAACCGTAGATAAGTACAGGAGTGAAACAACCGTAGATCAGTACAGGAGTGAAACAACCGTAGATAAGTACAGGAATGAAACAACCGTAGATAAGTACAGGAGTGAAACAACCGTAGATAAGTACAGGAGTGAAACAACCGTAGATAAGTACAGGAGTGAAACAACCATTGATAAGTACAGGAGTGAAACAACCGTAGATAAGTACAGGAGTGAAACAACCGTAGATAACAACAGGAGTGAAACAACCGTAGATAAGTACAGGAGTGAATAAGTGAGAACAACAACGTAGATAAGTACAGGAATGAAACAACCGTGATAAGATGAAACAACCGTAGATAAGTACAGGAATGAAACAACCGTGAGAAACAACCAACCGTGAGATAAGTACAGGAGTGAAACAACCCAGTAGATAAGTACAGGAATGAAACAACCGTAGATAAGTACAGGAATGAAACAACCGTAGATAAGTAAGTGAAACAGGAAACAACCGATAAGATAAGTACAGAGTGGAAACAACCGTAGATAAGTACAGGAATGAAACAACCGTAGATAAGTACAGGAATGAAACAACCGTAGATAAGTACAGGAGTGAAACAACCATAGATAAGTACAGGAATGAAACAACCGAAGATAAGTACAGGAGTGAAACAACCGTAGATAAGTACAGGAGTGAAACAACCGTAGATAAGTACAGGAGTGAAACAACCGTAGATAAGTACAGGAGTGAAACAACCGTAGATAAGTACAGGAGTGAAACAACCGTAGATAAGTACAGGAATGAAACAACCGTAGATAAGTACAGGAGTGAAACAACCGTAGATAAGTACAGGAGTGAAACAACCGTAGATAAGTACAGGAGTGAAACAACCGTAGATAAGTACAGGAGTGAAACAACCGTGTACAGGAGATAAGTACAGGAGGAAACAACCGTAGATAAGTACAGGAATGAAACAACCGTAGATAAGTACAGGAATGAAACAACCGTGAAACAACCGTAGATAAGTACAGGAGAAACAACCGTGAGATAAGTACAAATGAAACAACCGTGAGATAAGTACAGGAATGAAACAACCGTAGATAAGTACAGGAGTGAAAACAACCATAGATAAGTACAGGAATGAAAACAACCGAAGATAAGTACAGGAGTGAAACAACCGTAGATAAGTACAGAAACAACCGTGAGTTGAAACAACCGTGAGATAAGTACAGGAGTGAAACCGTACAAGGAGTGAAACACGTGAAACAACCGGGATAGATAAGTACAGGAATGAAACAACCGTAGATAAGTACAGGAATGAAACAACCGTAGATAAGTACAGGAATGAAACAACCGTAGATAAGTACAGGAATGAAACAACCGTAGATAAGTACAGGAATGAAACAACCGTAGATAAGTACAGGAATGAAACAACCGTAGATAAGTACAGGAGTGAAAAACCGTAGATAAGTACAGGAATGAAACAACCGTAGATAAGTACAGGAATGAAACAACCATAGATAAGTACAGGAATGAAACACCATCAACATGCAGTTCAGGTTAAGGATGGGATTTCTCACTAAGGTTTAAAAATCAGGCACACTGTTATCTGTGCAATGTATTCAATTATAACAATCTGAAATCTGCTGCTGTATTCCAATATGAGCTGTCTTCCTATATGACAACAGTAGTCAATAAGTTGATAGGTCATCTTTACTAACAAAATAGATTACCGGTATCTTCTAACCCTGGAATGGTTTACAGTAGACTGCAGGTCTTATCCTTGAATAGTTTCCAGTAGACAGAAGGTCTTACCCTTGAACACATCTTACCCTAGAATAGTTTCCAGTAGACAGGACCCGAAGTCGGAGAAGGAGCTTGTGAGGAGGAAGACACATTTGTTGTCCTGTTTCAGAGATCGCAGCCACTTCTTTATGTCTTCACTACATTTCTCAACGTACTTGTGTGGATTTTTTTTTATAGCTGGGAAGAATCCTCCTGTTTCTACTGGAGAATAATGAAATGGATGTATGAAAAATTATGCAGAAACTGTTTTAGGCCAGGTAAGCTCATTTTATATTAAAACATGTAGTTTGTCCAGTCAACTGTTCAACATGTTTCAAAAAAAGCCTGATGACAAATCCTTCATCCAAGAGACAGGTCATGTTTTAAAAATTTAATCCAATGCATATTTCTTGGTCTGTCCTGTACTTCCTGCCAATGTAAATACTATAGGAAAATAAAGAATGGCCACAAGTACAACAGAGATTTACAATTCAATGTGACATGAGAAGATATATCAATGAAATACAGGGTCAAATACTCAGTTATCTCCCTTGGACCTATAGATCTATGAGGAGATTTTTCATCATTAACAAAGGTGAACAATACCTTTTTTCATGCACTGATTATAATTACATAAATAATACTTCCTTTGCCACCCTCATCTAAGCAATATTGCTCATGTTATTCAGGCAAGCAAGCAGTGGAGTTCCAAACCACACATGTCAAATCTAGTTTTTGAGACAACTTTTAATGCAAGACACAGGCAGACAGGTGAGGTGAAATTGGGTTTAACATCGTGCTTGAGAATATTTGGCTCATATGACGACATGCATGCGTGTGTATGTGTATGTTCGGCTGCTTGTACTAGCCCAGACTGAAGCTGGTTTTACAGAGCTAGCCCACTGAGATACCATGCCGCAGTGAAGCATGAATACCCCACTCAGACACATTATACTGACTCGTTGTACCCATTAATGCCGAGCGCCAGGCAGGGACCAACAAATACCATATTTTAATGTCTTTTGGTATGACGGGCCGGGGATCTAACCCGCAACCTTCTGTTCTCCGGGCAGACACCATGGAGGCGGTCTACACAGACAGAGAGACAGTACACAAACACAGTATATGGTAAATATTTACATGCAAAGTTGTGATATGTATATATATGCACTAGGGAATCGAATACATCCCCCCAGATCCGGCTGTAGTCTATCTTGTCAGCAGATTTTGAGTCCTTCATCTGAAAAGTATAATAGTATAAAGGTAAGCTACCAGTTTAAAAATCTATTCCGCTTCATACATATAACTCAGTTAACCCCAACAATAAGTGTGTGCGTGCATGCGAGTGTGGTTTAACGCCATGTGTCTTTCAGGCATGTCACAGCATGTCATCTTAGGGAGGATGCATGAAGTGATGCTGATAAACCAAAGGTCACAATCAGCACACAACTGGGAATCAAACCCACTGTCATACATCCATACTGAATGTATTTTAGTTGCCAAGGCCAAGGTTTGAGTTCCTGTTGAAGAGTGTTTACTCATTCCACATCTCTTGGAATATATATCCACTGTGCTCAAATTTATGCATATTACCATTGTAATGTTTACTCAATATATTTTAAACTTGGTCTGTGATGGGTCCAAATTCTCTACCCTTACCCAGTTACCTGACCATCCACTTTCATCTGACCTGACCCAGTTACCTGACTGCCCCATTTCACCTGACATGACCCAGTTACCTGACTGCCCCATTTCACCTGACATGACCCAGTTACCTGACTGCCTCATATCACCTGACATGATCCAGTTACCTGACTGCCTCATATCACCTGACATGATCCAGTTACCTGACTGCCCCATTTCACCTGACATGACCCAGTTACCTGACTGCCTCATTTCACCTGACATGACCCAGTTACCTGACTGCCTCATATCACCTGACATGATCCAGTTACCTGACTGCCTCATATCACAGTTACCTGACTGCCTCATATCACCTGACATGATCCAGTTACCTGACTGCCTCATATCACCTGACATGATCCAGTTACCTGACTGCCTCATATCACCTGACATGATCCAGTTACCTGACTGCCTCATATCACCTGACATGATCCAGTTACCTGACTGCCTCATATCACCTGACATGATCATGACCCAGTTACCTGACTGCCCCATTTCACCTGACATGACCCAGTTACCTGACTGCCTCATATCACCTGACATGATCCAGTTACCTGACTGCCTCATATCACCTGACATGACCCAGTTACCTGACTGCCTCATATCACCTGACATGATCCAGTTACCTGACTGCCTCATATCACCTGACATGATCCAGTTACCTAAATTGCCTCATATCACCTGACATGATCCAGTTACCTGACTGCCCCATTTCACCTGACATGACCCAGTTACCTGACTGCCCCATTTCACCTGACATGACCCAGTTACCTGACTGCCCCATTTCACCCAACCTCGTTACCTGACCTTGTTACCTGACCCAACCCTGTTACCTGACCACCCTATTTCACCTGACATGACCCAGTTACCTGACTGCCCCATTTCACCTGACATGACCCAGTTACCTGACTGCCCCATTTCACCCAACCTCGTTACCTGACCTTGTTACCTGACCCAACCCTGTAACCTGACCACCCTATTTCACCTGACATGACCCAGTTACCTGACGGCCCCATTTCACCTAATCATGGGAATTCAAGTGAACACAAAATTTGGGCCTTACCTTTTTGTCTTCGATGTCAATAATTCTCGCCATGGCAACAAGGCCTGGAGTGTCAAAGTAGTTCTCAAAGAAACGAAAAGTTGCTGAAAAGACAACATAAATTACATCAATAATTGAGGCTAAGCATAAGAAAAGGTAGCATACAGCAGCTGATCCTGAACCAACAAATACACAAAATCACAATGATCCCCTCAAAACAGAAAGGAAAGACTGGTTTTCTCTGTCACAATAAACATATAAATTCTATACTTGCTATTTGTAAGTCTGTTGAGCTTTTCCCTTTTCCCGTGAAGTATGTGTGACAGTCACGTCATTTACATTCGAAGTGCTATCAGAGGTACAGATAAATTACGCAAATATTTATATGAAAACTCAATTCCTATTAGGTCTATTGCGTACAAGTACGCTTGAAGTTTTGTAAATACTCAATAAGTTTGATCTTTCATGCGTACACACATAAATGTCACTTTTTATCTTGCGTACCGGTGGTTAGATAAAATAACTGAGGTATATTGAGATGTTTTATTTCAACACATGTGAACTTGGCTACTTGTAGTCTTTCTTATCATTTCTCATATTACAGATCAAATATGAATAACAAACACGTAAACCAACATTTATTACTTTTATACAAATTTATGGAAAATGGCAAAATACCCAAATGAGTTTGATTGAGGTGAGTACAATATATTTGGTTACTCAAAGGAAAATTAGGATAGCCAATTGAGATGAACACAAGCGAGTACATAACTCAATGACCCAAAAAGTTATCTGTAGCTCTGGCTATGTTGACATTCATGCCTTGCTTGCAATGGAGACATTGTCTCTGTGTGACATGAGTGAGACTGGTATTCAATCACTACCTGACTGATACACACTCTAAAATGTTTATCAATAAGTGAATAACTTTGGTTATCTGCTACTTTTACCAATATTATATATCCCATCATTTCCTTCCTGGTGAATACCTGAATACTTGTAACAGGCTTCACATATTGAACATGTGAAGGATCAAACACATACTTTCAGCATGTTGAACAAATAATTTAACCACTAGGCTACCCATCTGCCCTCAGAAATGCTGGTTTATTAAGTGCTGTATTGTATTGACTGAATCTTTATGCTCTCGAGTTTAGTATCAGTTTAACTGACAGTCTCTCACAAATGTTGAAGTTAGTGAGTCTGTTTCAGCCAAACCATGACATGAGCTTGATGCGGAATGGAAGACTGAAGGGATGCAGGTTGCAGATGTCACTTTGTTGAAACTCATATACAGGAGCACATTTATGTCAGACCCTGGACAATAATCCGTACAATATGTGGATCCTGACCCTCTCAAGGGGCATAACTCTGTAAGGTATGCACACTCAGAGGATTTAAGGTTATTCTCAACAACGTTCGACTCACTATTAGAGTTTTTAACAGTTTGCTTGACAGTGTCTGCATGTTTCCAGATCTGATCCTCTCCGTAGGAAGCCTGTATCTCAGCCGTCTCCAGAGCCCTTGTTCCATGAGTTGCTCTAAAACAACATACTTCAATTATCACAATCAATCTGTTTACAGATATAGAGACTTTCCAGATTTCACAGGAACATTGGTGTTCTAAAACAAAGATTTAGAGTTGATACAATGAATTTAAAGAAATGTCTGCTGCAATCTGTTTGGTTGAAAATCCATATTAAATAGGCATTTAGAGTCTCCATGTTTTGGTTTGCACAAATCATTAACCATTCAATATGTCTTCATGAAACTACTATACACATCTGGAATGCTCTCAAATGGTGATTTACAAATCAGGAATTATTCAGTTTTACATATTTATTGCTCCACCAACTAACGTTCAAACAAGGCCCTGAACTGTGTGCCCGTAATGTACAAAGATACTGACAATAGCGAAACACACAGGGCAACTTAACTAGTTTGGGCAGTAATTATTATAGTATTCCGGCATTGAGGATTAACATGTTAATCCCAGTTATCTCCCCTGGGTTTCTCACCACAGGTGTGTAAGAAATGCTGCATCCACATTTGTTTTATAAACTACCTTAGAATTTTGCCATCATCTGCAGTTTTGAGTACATGTCCCTTCTCAATGTCTAGGAAGAGACCTTTACATCTGAAAAACACAGGAAGGAACATAAGGAGCAGGCAATGAGGAGAACAGGATAATACAGAGTACCTGAGGTTGTGATAACAAGGAGGACATCCAAAGAACTTGAGCTGATAAGAAGTGAGGTGAGGTGAAATGGGGTTTAACGCTGCACTTAAGAATATTTCATTCATATGACGACATGCTTTCATGTGTATGTGCGGCTGCTTGTACTAGCCCAGACGTAAGCTGGTTTTATAGTGCTAGCTCACTGAGATACAGATAAAAAGTGAGTGTGTGAGTGAGTGAGTGAGTGAGTGAGTGAGTGAGTATGGTTTTATCATGCAGAGACACCAGCAATATCACGTTGGGGGACACCAGAAATGGGTTTCACACATTGTACACAAATGGGGAATAAAACTCAAAAAGGTCATAATGGAAGCATCAGATAATAAGTAGAACATGATAAAGAGATAATCAGAACATAAAGAGGAGACAATAATTAGAACATAATGAGATGAGGATATAATATGGAGAGTATAGAGGACATAAGTGAAACATAAATGAGATATGTAGAAAATAAAGAGGACATTAGGTACTAGTATACATGAGAGGAAGATGTAATGTCCCACGGAAATTAGCACAACTGCAGTTTCCAGCCTAAGTCTAAGTAGTTAACACATTTTTGTTTTAAATCCCCAACTATTAAAAGTCACATGGTGAAGAAATATTGCACAGTTTTCAAAGTCTGTTCCAGAAATGACATCTTGGACAGACTGTCTCCATTTTAATAGGCATTATGGACAGACAGCCATTGTCCATTTTAATATATTATATAACCAGATATTTGAGACCCATTCAGCATATCAGTCCTCTATATGTTTAAGGGTCGATCTTGTTAAAACAGCATCTTGTTTCTTTTACTTCTTATCATGCTTAGAATACCATTTATAAGAAAGATGGAGAAACAATTGACCATAACACTGGCAAAATACTTGCCACATTGTAATATTCTGATGAACAGGTCACTCCAGAGACAAGCACTACACTGTCAGTGTGGCATGTCTACAATACTGACTCCACTACAATACTAGATGCCCTCACATGTTTTGTTGCTACTTTGATACTCACATGAACTCCTTGTACTTGAATAGGTCAGACTTGATGGATGCATCATAGCCTTTCTCCTCAACCAAGAAATCAGTTATACACTTGTATGACAGCTGGAAGATGATACAAAACTTGTATAGATCCATTAGGCTACAAAAAAGCACACACACACACATATTTTGAAAGCAAAATTGTTGTGGTAGAAACACTTTTTATATTTTTCCAACCAAAATTACCATTAAATTTATCAAATAAATAACTTTTTCCTCACTGGACCTGCGATCTGTCATGTATAAAAAATGTCCTTTTAGAAATTAAATGGAAACATTATTTAATGTTTCAGTAATTTCAAAAATTTTATTTACAATATGATTTGTTTATATTGATGTAAAACACACTGTTATCATGGTTAACGTGAGTACTGAATGTGATATGATTACGTCACTGCTAATGTGTTTCATAATACATAAAGAGGTGAAGTTCACAAGTGTACAATAGGACATGTTTTAAATAATTCACCAAATTATTATGAAAACGTGATTAATTTGTGAATTTCCTTCTACAAACAAGATTTACATTGATTAGAAACAAAATATACTTTTTGTATTATATATCCGAATATGCTATATCTCTTTCATGTGTACAAGTACCTTCCCATAACTACCATATGTCTTTGTTTTAGGCATGGAACACATATATAGATATACATTACATCTACATATGATAATCGCCCAAATGATCATGACAAGTATTATTGTAAATATATAAATTGTGTTCCGATTTGGTTATATAACTTAAACATTTGGCACACTGATATCATTGTGGTCACGTCTGAAGCATCGTAACCGGATGATTGTTGGATTATAAATCTACACGTTTAAATTGCAATGCATCACCAGGTGATCACAGATCTCACATTGAACACTTCCACCAGTTTGTATTTCGCCAGAGTGTGATCCAGATCGAAACCGTAGGCATCGTAATCAGCCAGACAAACAGTGCTTGGATGTCCCGAACTCATTGTGTGTCTCTGCGCTGCGGCTGTCAATATCTGCGCTGCGTTGTGCACGTGTTGGTTATTGTTGTTCAGCTGACCTTGTGGGGGAAGTGTCGTCACTGATGTCCTATGTGAGAGGCAACAGTGCCTTTTTATCCTACACCTGGAGAAACATCGAATAATAAACATTCAAGATTCGCCTTGCAAACAAAATGTTTATTTTGATATTCGAAGTTATTAAACAGAACTTCGTTCTATACAAGACACGATAGCTTTCGCCGCAATATAAGGGAGATAAGCGCTCTATTAAAGTAGGAGCTAGCCGCTATAAGATTCAACCGCTCTGACTTTAGGTATACATATATTGATAAGCACCTAACTTATGCGGAACCCAAGTGGCAAACGTACACGACATGCCTGACTAACACCTTTCTTCCAATCATGGTGCCACATAATGAAGCATACGACCTTATGGATAACAACTTCTTGTTATTGCATATAGCGGCTTGCCACATGTTTCATGTAGCTTGAACATTACTCTAAGCGGCGTCCTACCGTTCTCGCTAGCTTTCCCGTCGTCTTGAACCGTATCAGCCTTACTTCATTAAAAACGGCATACTTTTCGGGCGCGATTGTCTTAAAAGACAGTCAATTATTTTTTAAAGACGCTCTGTGTAGTAATCGACAAATTACATTTACAAATACACAACTTGGTTTGTATATGAACGTGCAAAACTTCTCAACACTGTCCACTGGAGCGACCAGAGACCGGTTCAATTGCTCAAACTCGTGAAAAACAACATTATTGTTAATTAACTTTAAGTATGCCTCACACTTTCACTTGCTGAGATCTTGCCATGTTAATTGTCCTTATCCCGTTTTTACCTTATTTAGATTCCTTAAAAATTAAACACGGAAAATTTAAGTTAATGCAAACACACAATTATAGTCTGTTTGCAGTGAAAACGTACCGATGAATTTCACTTTAAACAACAATGTAAATCGAATAAAGTTGACTTAGGGTTGCAAATCCTCTTAATTTTACCTTGCCAATTCAACATTGAAGTCTCAGAATTTTATTCATCTTAGGATAAAAGTTGTTTAACAAACAAAGTTACCATGACAACTGTCTTTAGCATTTCAAAAAATAATTTGTAATTGTCTTTGTAGGGTGCAGGGCAACAAGCGAGAAGATAGCAGGTTTTTACAAGTTCGCCGAGGTTATTGTAATGTTTTATAAAATATCCTGAATATTAGGCACATCCACACAAACTGATGGACTGCAAGGTGTATGTGGGTCTTTCCTGCATTTGGACTGACTGACTGACTGAGTTTGGTTTTACGCCGCTTTTAGCAATATTCCAGCAACATCACGGCGGGGGACGACAGAAATGGGCTTCACACATTGTACCCATGTCGGGATTCGAACCCGGGACTTCGGCGTGACGAGCCAACGCTTTGACCACTAGGCTACCCCACCGCCCCCTGCATTTGGACCCTGAACACGTAAACACAATCCTGAACCTACGACCTGGGCTTATACATGACAGAGTTGCTGCACAAGTACGTGAGTAGGTTTGTGTGTAGGATATAAAAATATTTTCTCGGTGCGTATATATTTACATTCACGTACTACATTGATCCATGGCCTTTCAATATCGAGAATATATTGTATATGTAACTATTGTTACAGGCATCACTTCATATCATGCATTCCTCACATTTCGTACCTTGCGTCCGGGTACAGAGGCAGGTGTGCATGATAGGTTTGTTCTGCTTTGTCGAATTGCCCGCGCGAACATCATTTGCATTGATTTGTTTACGTTTGATCAAATCACGTGGCGAGCTATAAATAGCACGGTCTCAGAGCAACACACACGCAACACAGACAGCGATATCACAGATTGCCTGGTAATTTGAGGTAAAAAAAACACAGGAAAAGTTGAGTTTTACGAACGCTCAATGCAACAAATGCTGTTACCCCAAGAGTTTGATGTGTCTGTTTCTGATGGAGACTTCGGCTCTCACCAGCTTTGACGTTTTGGACTTCGTCGACTCACAACAGGTATCAACATTAAGGATAATTTCGCAACAATAAGAACCACTAAAACCTTTGAACCTTTGTAATATATATTTGGTGTTGAAATAGTTTCTTTATGTTTACTCAGAATAATTATTGTTGTGCAACATATATAAACATTGTATGCGGGTATTTATAGTTTAAATATGTTTAGAATCACGAGTGAATCCCCGTCTACTACCGAGTGACTGACTCATTCATATTTGTTGTCCCTCGTTTCACGTCTATCATCCACATTATGTGGAGAGGTTGGATATTTGTTGTTGTCCTCGTTTCAAGTCTATCATCCACATGGCTCGAAACGTTAATAATGAAAATTACTTTAGATGCTAATGTAAATTTAACAAGTATGACCTAAAATATACTGAGTAATATATTACTGGGTAGGTAGTATCAAGCGTGGATGTGTATTCTCTTTTGGTGGGAGTGGGGCGTTATAAGTATCATTTGAAAACAAGGAATTCGTATTTCATAATCACAAGAAAGAATGACCTTCCTGCAGTAGTTTTCCGATAAATTTTCCAGGAAGTGGTGTTTTCCTTGTGGGATTTTCCGAAGACACTAAAATAACCCTGACGTTGCCGTAAACATTCGTAGATGTTCGTGTCATTCCGAGTGTTCACGGAAATATGCGATTGGGTTAAAGGTATTGACTGGGTTCCGTCCCTTTGATCAACTGAATTACGAATGCAGCTGAGCGTACCTAATAATACAGTCGAACACTGTTTATATTGTTTACCGCTCGGCATTTTCCAATACAGCGTGAACCCATATACCGTAATGTTGTTTAGTATTATTTGGATCGTCTATCAAACTAGTGATGTGCTTGACGACATGGAGGTTTTTTTGCATTTAAACTTAGCATATATTTTTATTTCGTAAATACAAAACATTCCGCTTAAATGGTCACGCATGTTATACGTACAAAAAAATCGGACACAAACCAGTTTCGAGAAGTTAGTTTCAAATGACATTGATGTATTATGTTATTGGCATGTCTGTGGCAGTAGTAGCGAGCACTGTTTTTAATGAGATTGCATGGCATTTGTAAGGCCACATAAATTAAATGTCTTGTTTCTCATCACTTTTTAAAAATAGTGAGTGAGTGTGTGAGTTTTTTACGCCGCACTCAGCAATATTCCAACTATATGGCGGCGGTCTAAATAATCGAGTCTGGACCAGACAATCAAGTGATCAACAGCATGAGCATCGATCTGCGCAATTGGGAACCGATGACATGTGTCAACCAAGTCAGCGAGCCTGACCACCCAATCCCATTAGTCGCCTCTTACGACAAGCATAGTCGCCTTTTGTGGCAAGCATGGGTTGATGAAGACCTGTTCTTCCCCGGATGTTTTCAAAAAATAAAATAGGTAGGTAGGGCGGAATTTATTTTTATTTTTTTATATTCTTTTTCTGATTTTCTACTATACGGGTAATGCTATTTTTGAGGGCATTATCATTTGCAGAAGCCCGAGGTCTTCCATTAACTGCCCGACGAAGGAGGGCAGTTGATAAAGACCGAGGGCTTCTGCAAATGATAATGCCCTCAAAAATAGCATTACCGTTATTATTGCTAAAATACATGGAATTTGTGTTGAAAAGAAAAAGGAAACAATGAAGGAATTTGACTGTAAGTTTACCCAAATCAACTTCTGACGGGCTTGACTGCCCGAATGCAATTACGTCATCGAACAATTCAAGTGACGTCACAACAGAAAGTGACGATATTCGACCTTGGCCTTTGACAAGACCATAGCCTGCAACATGTCAAGCTATGACAGTGTTCGGTTTTGGTCCATCAACAGTCTTGATAGTGCAATTGTTAAGGTTAGCACCAACAAGAAAGCCAATATTACCGCTATTTAAAGCGGGAATTTGGGTTGCTTTGACTTGTTTGACCCAGAATATCTGCCAGTCGAAAACCACTAATGTCGAACTATGAGGTCACTTGACAACAGAACTGATAGTGGCCCGTCGTTAAGGTTGAGCGGTCCAATATCATTTGCAGCGGACCGCAATTTTCTGATAACAGGAGGGCCGTTTCATGATAATTCCATGTATTTTAGCTATAAGACAAATTAATGTGTCTTCATTAACGTTCTTTGAACTTTTGATTTTGCAGGGGGGAAAAAATAGGGTCGGGCGGTAATGAGAAACAAGAAATTATTTGTATGTGGCCTAAGGGGGGGGTGGACTTATGGATACGATCTTCGTTATCATGAGCAACATCAAACAGTTGTCACCCCTACATTCTCTCTCTCTCTCTCTCTCTCTCTCTCTCTCTCTCTCTCTCTCAAGTCAGAATGCATGGTTGGTGTTTTACGCTGCAGTTATCGGGTAGATAACAGGTAGATGACGTTCTCGTGTCACTCTGCAGGCACACCAGTGGTTGTTAGTATGACCGCACGCCTACGTCATGGAGAAATGGATTGATGTGTGTGTGTGTGTGTGTGCGTGCGTGCATGGATGGAATTTACAGACCGCCGCCATATAGCTGGAATATTGCTCAGTGCGGCGTAAAACTAAACTCACTCACTCGTAGACTGCCGTTATACAGCTGGAATATTGCAGTGCAGATTAAACGAAAACAAACAAACATGTTTGATCTAATATTATCATCACTCTTTTCCAGTCTTCTCCGGGTTCAAACTCATCCTTTCAAACTTTAATAAGAGATATCTGCCAACAAGCGGCATTGCAGCCACCAGTCGTTGTGCCTGAAGAAGTACCTAAAGAACACACCAATGGAAGAGTGCCACGTCATAGAAAGAATTCTCACATCCAAGCTGAGAAAAAACGACGGAAGAAAATCCATGTGAGTGATAATTCTTAGATTAACTTACATATAAAAAAACTCTGTTTTCTTGTTAATCAAATGGGCGTTATCATATCTGACAAAAGTCTGACACTCTTCCTTAAAACATTAGTTACAAACATGCGCCTTTTATTCAATATGTAATACATTTTTGTTAGCTTACACCTTTTGTAAAATTCTCAACAATATTCAACGCTACACATCAGTCTGTCGACCAAATTTTCCGTTATATTCTTGTGCACCAGCGAAGTCAGCAAGTTCCAACCAGCGATAGCCCACTCTTACGTCACTACCAGGGGTGAAACAACGGTATCACGCGCTCGGTCAGATATGAAGGGAGGTAACTCTAATTGCACTGTACCCGAAGTCTATCGAGAAAATACAAGTGGGAGATACGTTCTGCAGAAATAATCGCTTCTATATTATTCGCTTGTTCTCTCTAGGAACATCTCCGCATGCTTCATGACTACGTTCCGGCACTGGTGTCGAAGAATGCGAAGAGACTGAGTGAACTGGAATCACTTGAAGAAAGTAAGTAAACACTCTGACAGTTCTTGCTCCTTACCTTGGTGCATGTAGACATTCTAGGCTGGGCATGTATTTTATTTGTAAATAACATGTCAATATATGAATATTATGACATATATTCATGGTGTCGTCCCGAATATTTTAGCTGGAAAATATGTTAAAGAGAAGAAGGTCCGCCATGACACTCGCAAGGACGAGATAGAGAAACTAAAACGGGAAAGAGAAAACCTTAAAATGGAGCTGAAGTGAGTATAGGAATTTGACTACAAATAACCTTCATCCCTACTTTCTTGCACCTCTCTAACCAAGTACACTTTGAAAATCCAGAATCGAACCACGAGTTGAAAGATTGCTGTCGCCTTTTACAATATACATTTCTTCACGTGCAATTGTTTCCCTTGTTTTTCACATCCGAAACATTTCAATTTAGCCGCCGTGTCGGTACATTTGGAATTGTTCTCTTTAAAAATGGCTGTTTTAGGGGTTCTTGTAGTATATGACATCCATGCATTTCAAATTTATCTACAAATGTCTGTCAGCTTGTGGTATATGTTTAACACGTTACCATGATGTTAGTTGTTTGGGGTTATTTTAACGAAACCCTAAAATTAATAATATGTGTGGAAATGTTGTCACGTTTATGGAAGGGAGACCTTGTAAAGTCTACCTAACGAATTTCCGGCCACATGATTCTTTTGCCAAGTACCGAACTTGTTGATTTAATTCGATAATTGTTGATTCAGTGCTGAGATACATTACACCAGTTTTTTTTCTTTCACAGATACAATTCTGTGCTCCACGTTGTTTAAACGTATACTGTATAGACCAATGTGAAGGGGCCACTTATACATAATCAGTCATGTGTGAGTGGACTATAACACTGCTAATCATTATGTAATATCAGCTTGTTTGACATTGAGTTTGACACATTAGAGTAGATCATTTCTCACATCTATGCCGTCATGTATAGCTGCTGCAGGTATGTCGTGTTGGCTTTGTCACGTGACCACTTATCGAGGTATGTTTTGGTAATTCACATATGGTCTAGATATCATTTATGGAAGTTGTGAAAATTACTTACACGGCGTCTTATAATGTGTCGACGATTTAACGAATATCTGTACAATCATACGTTTTATCCAATATCATGCCCGTTTGCATGCCTCTTCATTCCGTAATTACCAAGAGTTGGAAATATGTTGTTTTTATAGAAAACCAAACTTGACAGAACAAAAAATAACGTTCTATAGTTGTACTCACGTTTGGATGACCATCTGAAACGAAATGTATGCACAGCTGCAAAACGACCTTGTTTTCAGTAAGTTCAAGTTTGCTTTCTAAATTTAGAACAAAAGACTCCATATCCCCAAAGGCATCGTGTCAGAGTAAAAGATGATTTTAATAAGATACAAACACTTACGATGCAACTAAGTGACCGATTACTAGTTCGTCGACATTTCAAATCACCAGTGTGTTAATTTGTTCCCCCATAATGTCGTCTTGCAGTCAGCCCGTGGATCTTTACAATTCTTTCAGCACATTCCAAGCAGCGCTGCCATCCTCGGGGTTAAAGACGGACACCCGTCACCAGACAGTCCTGGGCCGTTACGACGCTTACTCACAACGGAAGTTTACCGAGACCTGGCGCTACGGTCTTGTATCCTTGTTTGCAACAGTAACTGGTCTTTCAGCCAGGCAGCTTTGCCCATATGATAACCATGTCACGCAGTGATTATTACTAGTCAGAAAATTTCTTCACGCGTACATGTACACAAAACTAACCTGGGTTATGGTCATATAATTTGCGCAGTGTACGCAAATACGCATTTTAGATGGAACTGTGGAATTATCCATGGTACTATGGAGACATATCGCTCCTTGACAGCTTCATAGTTTGATCAGATTGTAGGCAGGAAGCTTGCAGACTCGTACGCCGAGCAGACAAACACCAGCACAGCGGAACCCTACATACAGAATCTGATGAAGTGGACTGGTTCCTGCCTCACACTCACCAATCTCCGACCAGGTGATACCATCCTCGCGTGTACACGCTTTATCTCCCTCCTGTATCAACAATTCCCTGTCTGAGTGTCTGATCATAATATCTTCACCGTCAACTTTACACCACAATGTGTAAAGTTCCGTCTTTCAGGCGTCCTCGAAACATGTGGTCGTGTTTCCAATTCCAAATTCTCCCTGCTTATGTCTCAAGTGTTTTTTGAGGCAGTGGGGTAGCCTAGAGGTTAAAGTGTTAGATTCTTCACATGGGAACAATGTGTGAATCCATTTCTGGTGTTCCCCGCCGCGATATTGCTACTACATCCATACCGGCTTTGACGTAATAAACGACCCCCACCACATTTGTTTTTAGAGCCCTTGGTTTTCGTACATCTTGTTGTCGTGACGCAGAACAGGAGAGTGCCGTTGGTTCTCCAGCGGGACCGCAGCTATTGTGTCACTCTGGGTCATACGATGTGCTGCGGTGTTTCCATATTCTCTGGAAGATTCTTGATGAGTATGCATTCGCTGTCTGGGCTGAGTGTAGGTAGCTGACGATGAGCCTAAACAGCCTGACTGCGCCTGGACCATGCACACAGCCTCTCTCTGGTTATATAATTATGTATTAATGAGCACACGGCGCAACATTCTTACACCTTATTACATTGTATTGCAGTGGTGATCTCCGGTCTCCGAAATGTGTCTATAAACACAAGCATATTGGTGAACCCAAAGGCTGTCAAGCAAGAACTTGCCCTCTCCATGCAAAAGAGTGTGTCCTCTACAGTAACTGCGACGGCAATTCCGTCTACGGTGACTACAGCTGCTCCAACTTCTGCGGCTGCAGTAACAACACCAACCACGTCAGCTTCGTGCACTCCATCGTCATGACCTTGGGTTGCGGAGTGGGCGTGGCTTAGTTACCCCGATTAGGGAATCAGAGGTTTTGGCGGTACAACCTCTGATTCGTCATAGGCAAAGGGTGAACTACAGGGCGTTGTTCGGTGAGGTAAATGAGCTCCAGAGTGTTCAACTTACATGTAGGTTTGTGTGTGTGGCTGCGTGTACTATACCTAATTATAGTGTACATGCCCAATGAGATACTCTACCACAGATTGATATGGAATACCCATGTCAGAAACAATCACACAAAGTCTTAGCAAATCAGTACTTGTTTATTCCCCTTGAGTAACAGTCTTTGCTTTTGTGTTCACGCAACCATGTAGATTTGTGTATTGGACTGTCTGACAACTGGGGGGACACCACAGCACTACCCACTAAGCCACGTGATGGTCACTTATGACAATCTTTGAACTTTCGATATCAGTAAACAACAAAACAATGCAAATTACCCACATGGGCACGAATATAGATGACATTATTTCCAGTAATTCGCATTGAGCACACCAAGTTTGTGGTTTAATATGAATGCTGTGGTGTCTCTTCATACTTCTATACCACGACGCACATTCAGATCAGTGATCATGAGGACTTTCATAAAATCATTTTCGAACCTTCAAGCAAAATCGTATACAAGGTATTGTTTATAGACTGACTGAAATTGACGTAAGGCAACATCATATTGTTATTATTTTTTCGATATTTTCTGTGTAATATGAGAATGGGTAAAACCAAGAATAACCCATTGGGTGATTAATCGTTTTGGAATGTGTGCAACAGAAAACTACATAACGTGTAGGTATCTGTAAATACTGGTCGAGACCGTCATATGTTTGCCTTGCCATTTTATTATGCCCCCGCCATATATGGCAGGGGCATATATGGTTACCCTCGGTGTCCGTCCGTCTGTCCGTACGAAACAGGGAATGTATTCTCTCCACTTCTCCACCATAACCGCTCTGTGGAATTCAATGAACTTATACATGGTCTTTCTTGGGACTCTAATGGTGTGCATCTCATATTTGTTTTTTTTATTTTATTGCTTTTTTTTGTAAGTTTAGAGACATTTGAACTTAGGTACATTTTGCTGAATTTCTCTATGATGATAGTGTAATAGGGGATGAAGTCTATCCACTTCTCCACAAAAACTGCTCAACAGAATTGAATGAACTTCTACATGTCTTTTGTAGGGACTCTAAAGGTGTGCATTTCATATTTTTTTATGCAATTGCTTACTTTTGTCACTTTTACAGATGTTTGAACTTAGTTGAATTTGGTTCTATTTATCCAGTTCGTCCCATACAACAGGGGGTGAACGTTATCCACTTCTCCTCAAAAACTACTTTATGGAATTCATTTAGATTACACATGTGCTTTATAGGGACTCTAAAGGTGTGCATCTCATATTTTGATTTTAGATTTTATTTATTTTTCCAATTTTAATGCCGTTTAAACTTGAATAAATTTTGTTGAATTTCTCTCTGAATAAAGTGTTATAGGGGATGAAGTCTATCAACTTCTCCACAAAAACGGCTCAACAGAATTGATTAAGCTTATACATGTGTTTCATTGAGACTCGAAAGGTGTGCATGTCATAGTTGCATAGATGTTTATTCAACTTGTTCGAGAATTTTGTTCAATTATTGATCTTTATATGTCTTATGAATGTCAGCGGGGGCATCCGTGTCCCTGGACACAATTTTTTCTTGTGTTAATGTTGTGTTTAGGAAGGCTACCGTGATGTCCGTGTGTTGACATTTTTATACACTTGTTGTTTCAGTTTTTTAAAGGTCACATGCAACGTAAAACACAACTTTGCAGATTCTGATATCTTTCGGTATGGACTTACCGAAACAAATCGTCAAAAATGCAAATTCAACTTATAAAGTTGAAAAATAACGCGATGAAAGAAAACGCGCGAAATCGGAGTTCAAACGTTTCACTAATTTTCCCCAGACTTTTCTGGGGAAAACGGGTTTCAACAGCTGGGCTGCGCTCATAGCACGTGCGCAAGTAAATAGGTTCGCGCAGCTTGGAAGCGGGTTGTCCGGTGAATACTCGGTGAAGGCTTTGGTGTGAGCTATTTTTCTAATGTTTTGTTGATATCTCACAGGCGCGAGCTTTTTATATGTTATGACAGTAAATTAACTGTTTATATAATTTCATTTGTCTATTTCACCACACGTTCTTCTTACCGAGACACTTTCTCAGTTCGATACTTAAAAGCAATGTCATTATTTAGCGTTGACAGAATTTCTAACTGTGATATAGATATGACGTTGTCACAGACAAAACTCAATGTCTTGTTTTATTGACACCTGTGTGTCTGCCCGCCTGTCTGCTAATGACAATATTCAATACACAGCTGCTATCACTGACCACATGCAATTTGAACTTAACACCAATCAGGCTATACACCATAAACAAAACGCATTGATTTATGGCCCGAGTTCGGTCTCTGTCATATTATGTAATTACACACACAGGCAGGTGTGATACTTGAACACATGACATGTTATGATGTCTGTTGATTGCAAAATGTTATACACAAAAAATGAGCATGTATTTACAAAACCCAACATCTCTATATATACACACACAATTAGCCGTGAGGGCATCTGCAAATGAACCAGCCGTTACACTTGAGTGCACACCCACCCGCTCTGACTGGGTTCGGTATCCCGGCTGCTTCGTTTCTTGGGAAGTAAACCGAAGTACACAATTTTGCACTTTTGATTTGCGATTGTACGCTTATAATTTTGTTTATATGTTTTTTCATAACCAGCAATGTATATTATATGTCATGAATAAGTGATAATTGTGTTTTAATTATGTTTGATTTTTTGGTTGCATGTGACCTTTAAGCTTTTTCTTCTGTTATGTATGTATGTGTCAAGGTACACTATAATACTCACTCACTCACTATTGTATATGCTGACACAATGCTGAATTATACAGTGTTAGTACGCCCATTTACAGCCTAACACAAACATAACCTGTCTCCGTTTTCCAGATAAACCTTTTGGTCAATAATCCGGAAATCTCACCGAAACGTTGTGGGTTTTTTTCAGAAACGAACACCTACATTTCAGATATACATTGAAACCCTGAAAACAAAACTGCACAATTTACGAATGTATCAACCAATGAAATTGACCATATAAATAATGTTGAATTAAAACTATAAACTACATCATGAAACTCTTTATATGTCAGGCATTTTCACGTGTCAGATTCATTCACACACACAAAAATTGTAACTGGGAATATATTTTGTAAACACAGGGAAATAATTGTTTTGATTTTGTTCAATTATTGTAATATATCTCCGATTAGCAAGGTCCGAAACCAAATAATGCAAACGTGTTAGTTTAGAATACACCAGTCCTTTTGTTGTAGAAGTTGGAGCACGCACATTTGGACGAAAACTGTGTATATGTACATGTCCATAGCTGGTTTTCCGCAACCTCACTTACATTCCTATGAATCATTTGAATATTATGAATCAAGTTAATATTTTGGGTGTTTGGTGATTCTTCAAGCATTAACCATTGTATAAATATATACATGTATATATCATGATCGTTAGGCAAGTTGCGCATAAGGAACTTCTGGACGTCGGGTTAGCCCTAAAATACCGTACAGTTAACACAGGTTTGCCTGATGTATCTTAGTATAGGTAGTCGAACCTGCGACTACTGCTTATCATCGGGTGAGTGCATTAACGGTAGTGCTTCACTACATACCAATCGTTCAAGGCAGCTAGGACAATTGCGGCGGAGAGTATGCAGTGTGCGAAATAGCCACTGGCCCGATAGCCCGTGGCTAGTAAAAATCCAGTCGGGTCAGTAAATCTCCAGTCACTGGCTAGGGAATTTTCATGGGGTCATTTTGTAAATGTATCTCTCCGACTTATAAGTTATAATACACTTTCAAATCATGCAAGATTACGGCCTGATAAAAATGTTCACCATATTAGCAACTTAATTATGAAACCCATGTCATGCCGACAATATCTTATTCTCATCTATTTTTGTAATCTTTTGCTTAGTTTTTTCAATCAGATTTCGGGCTAGTGAATTATCTTGCGGGGTAGTAACTTTCAGGCATAGCTAGCCCGACTGGCTGGCAAAATTTGGAAACTATTTCGCACACTGAAAGTATGTCTTTGTTCTCTCTATTACCCACTGGTGTGCCATGAAACTAGTTCAATATAGGTTATGACACAGCAGGAAGTGCTAGTGCTGGGTCCAACACCCATGCAACCACTATAAGTCTGGACGCTGGTGTCTAGCGATCACTTTTGCAGGTTTAAGTGTGCAGTGTTGTCCAATAAACCAATACTTGTTATAAGTTTCTGTTACGTTTTCTTTTTCAACCATTGTTGTAATGGTTGAAAATACATTCAGTCATTTCATCGTTTTGTACATATACAAAAATACAGATCCTTCAACAACAACTTAAAACGAAACCGGAATGATTTATTTACAAAATGAATACTTCCCACGATCTAAACAACATGGATGTGAAACGATGTGACAACATGGAAAGAAAATGAATTCATGTACGGTTTCATTATTGAAGTCACCTGCAGCTGACCCTTCTATATATCACTTGATGTACACAGGTAACCACCTGAAAGCACAAAATGTGACCAACACTGACCTACACAAAACACGGTTCTCCATTACATACTCTCCGGGGTAGAATTGGTCTTCAGTAACCCATGCTTGTCCTAAGAGGCGACTAACGGGACCGGGTGGTCAGGCTCGCTGACTGTCATTTTGTGTAGATTGATGTTCATGCTGTTGATCACCCGATCCCGTTAGTCATAATTCTAACCCGGATCTTCTACGTACTTTGAGGAGTGTTTACAAACAAACATGATATGCACAAATAATTGTAGCATTTTCAAAAACATGTTTTAGATTACCGAAAATCAATGTCTGACAGGGATATAGGTTTGAAGTCTGGGCAGATATGGATACAAAATTTGCTACATTTAGCGAGGATAACAGTCTAGCGGGCTCATCTTCTATACCTTCACCTTGAGTGTATTTTGGATGGTAAATATCCTGTATTTGCAATAAACACTCGGGCCGCTAAGTATACTCTCCCAAACAAGAAACGCATCATGAAAATAGTAATTTCATGTATATTATAGCAATGAATTAAAACGTGATTCATTTTACAAAAGGTTTTGCTCTGTTTATGAGTCCTATGGTGTTTATGTTTTGAAACATCACAACAAAACGCACCATCCGTAAAATACCCGTATTTAACAGCATGATTTTCAATTTCGGCGTGTTGTGTCACAGAATACACAATTCACATGCAATGCATGTGAAAGTTGGGGATCAGATAGTCTCAATGATGGGTATAAAAGGTTGACCGCTGTCTGTCGATTATTCACTGTATTTGGAATATTGTTGAACGCAAAATGCCACGTCTAAGTGAAGCCAACCGTCATATCGCCATTGGTTTGCTTAAAGCTGGCCAGTCTCAACG